CTCCTAGGCAAATCTGGATTGGCCAAGAATATACGACCATAAGCCACAAGATCTGCATGATTTTCAGCTACTGCTTTGTTTCCATCTTCCCTGTCATAACCCCCTGCAGCAATGAAAGTTCCTTTGACAAAATTATTTTAAAGTTTAATAATTTTGACCTCAAAAATATATTTATAATAAAATATTATTAGTTTAACTTATAAAAAATTGACAAAACTTTAAAATTTTTGCTTGAAAACTCAAAACTGTCAGGTTACATGGTGGAGATTCGATCCAACACCAGATATCTGATGGCTAATCTTTAAATACAGTTCTACCAATGAACTAGTGGTGATTATTAGTAATAATTTGGCACAAAAATCTATAAAACTTTTTAAATTTATAAAATCTCGATTTTATTCAATTTTACGATTTTACGATTTTACTACAATTTTATGATTTTATTGTTCCAAGTTTATAGAATTCCAATTTTAACTCCAATTTTATAAGAATTGCATAAGTAAAATCGTGAAATTGTAAAATCATACGATTTACAAGTTAAATCGTGATTTTGACGACCATGTTGCCAAGTAAGTGTCTTGTTACAGGGTAGATTTAGAGTGTAATGCCATGTGCGGCACTTAACTTGGAATTAACCCCTCAACTAAACCAAGTCAGCCTTCCCTCACACTAGGCATAACCCATCCACTAGACTATAAGGTTTGCAACACATAAATACAAAAGAGCGAGCTTTGGAGAAGAAAAGAGTCTATTAGTCCACAAGGTAGTGTTACTAGAGGTCTGCCCCAGCCACCTCCTGCAGGTAAAAGCTCTAAAATACTCCCAAAACTTCCACATATGTACAATTTATAGCAGACATCCTAAGTCTCCATTTCTATCCTAACTTATATAATTCTAGAATTATGTACAATGGCCTAGCACCTTTCAGACTCAGGCTTGGCCCAACAAGCCCACCCAGGCCTCTGCTGGCAGCTCAATCCCGCACTCCTGACAGAGAATCCTTGACAGCACTGGATTGCACCTAGGCGTCGACACATAATTAAATCCTTTGTATAATCCTGGTGTTGGCACCTCATCCACTGTCGAGGAACGTCTCAAGAACGTTCCAGACCCTTTCCGCGTGCAAACGTGTGGACACCGCAACTTTGTACTGCAATCTTGGTATTGACACCTCTGAACTCAGGCCCCCTAGACTTGCACCTGTAAACAGTAAGTCTTAGATTAGCCTTTAAAAATATTAGTTCTTTTAAATGCATCATGTCAATGTGAGGGATGTATTTTTAAAATTATTTAAAATGTAATTAGTTTTAAATTTTATAAAATTTAATCCAAAAACACTTTGACTATAATCTAAAAAAAATTATGTTCAACAAAATAAAGTTAATATAACTAATTTGGCATGGTAGACTAAAGCTAACACGGTTTGGCTTTTGTATTGTATCCACTTATGCTGTAGAATTATTGCCGTAGAATCTGCAATTCTCTATTTTTTTTGAGTTCCCAAAACACATATACATTCTTAGCAACAGAATGGACCAAAGAGTTAAAAGAAAAAGTCACTCAGGACATTATCGACGTATTTTATTTGTACAATAACATGTGTTAAGACCAAAAATAGAGATTTGGAGACAACAGAATGTCATACCGTTCTATGGTCATAATGCAAGGTCATAATGCAAGTTCATATGGACCAAACAACATTTTGCAGATGGCGGCATATAGAATGGAAATAATTGATCTCATTTCATGAAACTCAAGCAGTGGACTCTGATCTGCTAAAATTATTAGTAAGTGCTTTAGTCGCTCAAGTAATAAAATGATAAATAGAGTATTGTTCTCATAGAAATTATGTATAACTAAGTACCGAAAATAACTAATTATGTAATTATTTGAATAATTAAAAAGGAAGACTTTCTAACTAAAACTAATTAAAAGAAAATAACAATTTAAAATAAAATCACCAAGATATAAAGTACTAAGGTACTAATTTTACCATAACCAATCAACATAGATTTTAGATTGCTATGCTTTTAGAATGTAAACTAATCGTGCGATAGTAGAGTTTTTTTTTTATCATATTTGATATATTTTATCAAATTATACTAAACTTATCTTTATCTATCAACCCACTATATTTTTATGTGAATTTCAATAAATAAAAATATATTATATTCTCTAA